AGAAAACTAGCTTTCCGCCCGCGGCTTCGCCCGCGTGGAATTTTGTCTGTCTCAGAAAAACTTTATCGCGCGCGTCCCTGTTTCAAAAACCGGGACTTAAACTATCTCTATGCCAAATTTCATCAAAATCGGTTGCGAGGTTTAAGCGGGAAAGCGTAACAGACAGACAGACAGACAGACAGACAGACAGACAGACAGAGTTACTTTCGCATTTATAATATTAAGTTGGGATTAGTTGGGATTGACCATTGACTTTTGTTTCTTAACGAAATTTTTCCTAAGGTAAAAATCCAAAATTACTCGGTAATGCTGAATGCTGGTTAATAATTAATTAAGTTAAATGTCTATAAAATTGGCAAATTTTGAGTTATGAGATTCACAATTTTATGACAGTTGTTGCACGCATTTCTTTCTCGGCTAAAACACGAATGAGAAAAGCTAAGAAACAAATTACTAAGTCTTTCTCGGGGCTGACTGTACCCGCTTGGAGAACAATAGGTGGGGTGATCCGTTCAGCCCTTTGTAGGCAAAAGTAAGGCTTTTTGAAGATTTCTTTTTTCTTCCCTTTGACAAGGAATTTTCCCTTCCTCTATTTGTGATTATGTTAATAAATTGGAACGGGTTTTTTTGTTGTTCAAAAAGGAACAAAACGCGTTAAAAATATATTTACAAACCAGATATTACTGGAAATGTGGCTCTAGTAAACATGGTTTGGCATAGTAATCACTTAAACCGTCATTTGATTTATTTAAAGATATTATTTATCTATGAGGTCTCACAGTGCGCGTGGACTCACAGGCTCACAGGGTTATACACGAACCAATCACACAGCTCTATTCAACGCTGTGCGTTCGATTTGCTGCTTCACTTAAGCAAGCATCGTTTGTGAATGCGGGCGTTAGGCTACAAGTGACATCACAAGTCAGTGACAAAATCGATGGTAATAAAAATATGGGCCCTTTACAACGGCAAGCCAATTATGCGGGTTCCAATATTGCATGATATAGCAAACAGGACACTGCAAACGGGATATTCTTGTGAATTTTAATATTAAAACACAAACTAACTTAACAGGATTCTGCAAAAAACAGGCAAAGAAAAGAAGTCTCTCCGTGGAAAAGAGCCCTAACGTGACTGCCGTAAACATTTCTATGGCCGTCACACAAAATATCATTATGCTCACTACACTCTTTATAGCATACGGGATTCGATCACAAAACTGGTAGATAGTCCAATGCTTGAATCTCAATTTTCATTCATTTTTAATCTACGAGACAGATATTATTCTTTTTTTTTTCATTTTACAGGTAATTCATTTTCCATCATGTAGAAAAAAACAAATTAGTTAAAAAAAATATTTCCTAAATAAAAACATCAATTTCTGCCAAAGGAATCAAAAATATAATTACAAAATAAGCTGGAAATCTATGAAAAGCTTCTTCCTCGCTTTTTTCAAATTAGCAAAACTCAAACCTGTAACTTTACGCAATTAAAAGTAGGAAGATGAACATAAAACGAGGCATTTTCCTTAATTAGCCGATTAAAACCGCTTGCGAAGTAAGTAAGCGGTTCAAAAGGAGATTGCATTCGCTATAATGTGTACGAAGTAATTATAATAACTAGGTATCAGTCATTTTACACAGCGCCATCTAACCTCAAAATATTTATTAAAAGTATTTTTAAGGCGACCAAAATAATAGCTTAATGATGTCAGTATTGAAATGCTGATTCCAGTGTCGGTAGATCCATCCCCGTCCAAAACGTACTTAGAACCACAACGTCTAATATGGGAATTGACCTTCGGCCTGATCATCACTTACCATCAGGTGAGATACAGGAAAGAGCTTCCTCGTTGTGGTTGAAAAAAATATGACCTTCTATTGGGGAGGCAACATTTATACTGATACGACACACCATGCTTGACACTGTTGCATATTAATTATTAAGATTTTAGATGGTGATATTTAAAAAAAAACTGATGATGCTATTATGCTGTTGACTGTACAACTGTAAGAAAAACATTTAATTTAGTAACTCAGAACTCAAATAAGAAAACCCGAATTTTCCACTCAATAGAAGTCACAGTTAAAACTATAACTCGTAGGTATGTGTCTGATAAAGTAAAAACCCTCAGTCCCCTTCCCACAGGAAATGTGAGCGAAAATGTGACCGGGTCCCGGGAACCTTAGTTTTTAACAAAGCTACGGAACCCGGGCCACGATCCGGATGGTAGGGTTGGCGAACATACTCAATTATTCATTAGTTCCATTATGAAAATAAAAGCTATTTAAATAACATTATTAGGGCATGGCAATTAGAAAACAATCTGTTTGGTTTTCAGTTCCATACTGATCAATAATATAATCTTTTTCAAGGGTCTAGAAGTTTTCCCGGCAGGAATCTATAAAATCTGCAACTGATAAAAATATCATTATTAATTAATACTACATCTTATAGGAAAAATTCAAATGCTGATAAGAAAAGAAGTAAACAAATTAATTATAATGCGGCGGAACACAGCTGATCCATAACAAAAATTTTATGACCTGACTTATGTGTGATTTCACAATAAAACAATTTGAATTTGAATTTATAGACTTAAATCCATCTCTAACCTCTCAAATCATGTTTATACTCTTCATATAAATTTTATACATACCTACGACATTCTACGACAGCGTTCCTGCAGTCAGTATTTTATTTTGACAAAAATATCATTTGAAATACTGGTAACCCTACGCCGGTCTTTCACACCGAGGGAACACACACACCTGCAGCAATTGCTCTGTAACTCACCGCGCCCAGAAAAATATTGGAAACACCCTTTGTTGTGTTCAGAGTAATCTCAACTCCCAGAAACTTACTATATTTGCACGGCTCTTCGTGTACTAAGTATTTGGTATTGTTGTTTTGTCAGATTTTAGGTTTGCGGTCACTTCGTGGCTTTGTATCTTTTTGTCTAACTTTTCTTCTTTCGCTAGTTTTTCGATATTTGGAAATTTTCGTTTGCTGTTTAGGTGAACTTTACTCAATCTGTTTAATATACGTACTGATTATACCGAATATAAGGAATAAGAAGATAAATATCGCAAAAGCGATTGGAAAAGAGTTTTTGACGATTATTTGTACAATTTGTAGCGATTTCTCACTCAGAACCAGTAAACTGATGTCTATGACATATTAGATATAGCTTTAAGTGTTTAAAGGCAATGCATAGGAACACGCGTAATGAAAGTTACACCTGAACTGTATTATGTATATTTATCTATAAGGTAATCACTGGGACCTAGTGTGGTGCCCTGTACAAGCCCCTCAATGTGAACGCCTCATTTTAAACTTAAGTTTATTTAACAAACGTGTCTAATATTACCATCAACTAATGCTAATATCACATTGTAAAAACATTATATCCAACAGTCAGTTATAAACAAAACCTACGAAACAGTAACACTACACTATGAAACGCTTAAAGGAGTACTAGACTCACTTTCAAATAGCCGTCAAAGTGTTTATTAGTTGTTTTACGTATTTATTTTAGTTTTTCTATTCTTTTCTTATACGTGCCTATTTATTTTCAACACTGATTAGATGCCTAGGCCTTAGGATTGATTTAGATCACTACTTTACCACACCAGGCTGTTACCTTTATGTTTCACGGACACTGAGCTTCTTTTTAGTGTACTCCTGACCTCACACACCGTACAAATGCCCGCAGTTACCTCAACTCTTGGCTTCCACACCTTCGGCCTCGAAGGCCTACCGATAGATTCTGAATGGGGCGGCGAACTACTGGTTTGTGCCACTACTCTTAGGGGATTGTGGTCCCATAAGGGTAGTGTTTAGGGCGGTTGGAGTAGGTGGGTAGTTGGTGACGTTATTGTGGGGCAGCGGCCACGTGGGGCGAGTGTCCGCCAGACGTGAGGGCGCTGTTCGAGGTACCAAGAAGGGCGCCCGTGCGCGCCCCGCCCCTCACCCGCTACGCCGCGCCCGACGGTACCATCCTGCTGCTGACTGAAAACGGCACCAGGCTGATGACCCGCGCCGCCGCCGCCAGCCTCCTGCGCGCCGCCCTCCTCTCCCCGCGACCCCCTCGGCCCCGCCACGGTGAGCCGCCGCCGCACCCTCTCTTCTCTTCTAAATCTCTGTGTCTCTGTCAGATTCCATCGCCTCTTGCACTGCACGCTTCGCACTGCTTCGTAAGGTAGGAGCGCCTCACCATCGATGACGGACTTTGATGGTCACGGATAGACCACGAGCGGATCATCATCATCATCATCATCATCATTTCAGCCACAGGACGTCCACTGCTGAACATAGGCCTCCCCCAATGACTTCCACATCGCACGGTTGGTAGCGGTTGGTAGTTGGCGAGCGGATCAACACGAGCTAATTTTAAATCTTACATGTTTAAATCTACCGACTAGACTGTTCCTAAAATGGCTTATCAAAAGGAAAGGTGAACTAGACTTGACGAGCTAGGTTTAAGTTTAGGTACCAGATTTAGCTTTTCGATCATTCGCTCCTACTTTATGCCTGCATGCTTTTAGTTATCTGTTGTTTCCCTTTTTTCCCTATTTTAACCATTTTAGACTTTTATCAATTTGAGCAATACGAAAATCGTTTGTGTCTCATCAAAAGTCCAAAATGGGTATATCTCTTGAAATGAGCATGTGTGCATGTTTTCTTCTGCATCTTCTATTTTCTACGATCTCTATGGTTACTGCGCGGCATAGACTTGGCTTTGAACAATAGTTCGGACGGGCCTGCAAACTGGAGGCTTTGCTATTTTTGATCGGGACGTGAATTTTCTAAATTTGTGAAAATTTTAATTAATGCCAGATGAGTGTCGTAATCGTAACGTTTCGATCTCGTTGTTGTTTGGATTGTCGTTTTTATCGTCATTAGGGTAATTTGTATCGATGTGTATGATCGACCGGAGTCGCATCGCGGGCCGGTCGCGCGGTACCCGAAGCTAAGCGATTCGATGGATGCCATTCCAGTAAAGCTGATGACGGACGGACGCTCCGCCAACCGAACCGGTACGGCAGTGACGTCATGGATCGGCGGTATGTCCATAACGCAGGACGGGAACCTGATTGCGCCGGACAAAATTATGACCCACATCCACCGATACGCAAGCCCCCACTACAACCCCCACGGGCACCATTACCACCGCTGGAACCATGAGCCGGGGGGCAGCGAAGACCCCCTCTACGCGACCAAGACCGTCTACGGACCTGGATACATTGATGAAAACCGTACGTATGGTTCATTTCCATGGACGTTGACTAATCTCTCGAGATCGGCTTCTAGTTTTATCATTATGGTATATTTATTAAATTCTCTTATTATCTTAAATAGTATATTGATAATCTTCTACTAATACTCATCTTCTCCCTAGGTCATATTTCTAGAAATTTAGTTTAGGAGACTCGGGGTTTTATTAAAAAATCTAGAGATATTAGTTAACGTCATGTCAAAATTAGGCCATATTAAATTTACACCTAAAACAGACAGTACAACCATAGATATCGTAATTTTACACTCACTTGGGCTTTCAACTGTACAGCTCTGGGACATTGTCAGTCGGGACACGGGTGGTTTTACTGAAGGCACTGAAATAATTATCATTTTATGTATTCGAGTGCTCATTTTCCCCCTTTTTGTTTGAATCCCAGTTTGGAGCACTTCTTAGTCTAGACCCCACTATTTACATTAGAACGGCGTAGGATTAAAGAACAACTGATATTAAACGAACAAAGTAAAGCTTTGCGTAGTCAAAGGACTTAGAAGGGATCCTCCTAGCATCGCTTTAGAACCCTTGAGACTTGCTTCCTTTTCCTTGAGATTCACAGTAAAATCGTAGAAGATTTAGATGTAAGACAAAGGATTTAGTAAACGCTTAGACACAGAATACAGGGAAGCTTTGCAGATTTTGAAATTCAAACCATTATTCGAGTATATTATTATACTTTGAGGTTGTTTAATGGAATCGGACGCAATGAAGACATCGATACAATTGCGTGGTTCGATTAAATAATTTCTAATCGATTTTACGTACGAGTTATTCCAATTGAAATTTGAGCATGATCGAACATCGGTACCGCTTAGTTATTTCCAAATCGTATTTTGTTTTGAAATACCATTGGCAATTCATCGTATTTCTCACGATCCGCAATATTTTGAAGATTTCCTCACGTGTCATATTTATTAACTCTACCACTATTTGTAAATTATATTTGTCATGGCATGAGCATATTGTAATTTACTGTATGTATAATATCACTTTCGAATATTATACTTAATATTATTTTAATTTTGTTTACTGATATTTGGATTGAGTTTCTTTATTATTTTATCTATGTAAGTATTTGTTTTATGAAGGAATTCTTTCCCTTAATCTGTATTGAAATACTTTCTGGCTTTATATGGTATTACGTTTATTAGGGAATCTTTAACTGGATCGGAAAATAAACTTTCCGGACTAACACAATTGAAAGCGGTTTTAACAAAATGGACAGTATACCTTATGAATTTTATTGCAGGCTTGAAAATTACATACTCGTGTGTACAATTTAACTAAACTGACAGTTTAAATACAATGTTATAATTCTCCATTTTGTGGAGTTAGTTTGCATTTATAGTCGAGTAATAATTTTGCTCTGTGAATTAAATTGTTTACGTGGATGTTGTAATTATGGTGTTTAAAGAACACTTATATTGTCAAAAACTGATTATTGATTTAAATTGTTTACCAAATGATACCACTATACTAAGCATCATCAAGATTATTGATCAATATGTGAAAGGGAACTTTTGTCAAAGCAATTAATAATGTTAGCACCAATGAAGATGATAATACAGAATTCTTTTTAAAAGAAGGTAAAGCAGAAAATAAAAAAGATAAATCAGAATTCCATTTACCAACTGACCCAAACAGTAAAGGAGCTGTTAAAGAATGTGTCTATACTAAGTCCATTTCACAAATTGATCCAAAAAACACCCGCACACATCATTAAACCTCACCCACATCAACACGGACTAACACACTCAAAAACCAACAGAAAGGATTGCGAAAGAGAACGGTAAATCAGGTGATGAGAAGGTGGCGCTGCAGTCGACGTGTCACGTGGCCCTGGACTCTTGTATCAAGGATGGGGAGTGCATGACGTCACTGACGCCGGTGCTGCAGAAGTGCCACTCCATGGAGTGCGACAGAGAGGGATGCATGGCGGCGCTCCGAGGGTTCTACAGGAAGCAGGGCGTGAGTTGGAACACCGAGATCGCGTTCTGCCTTTGCAAGTGAGTTTGTTTTGATTATTGAGAATTTATAAAGATCTAATTTATTGTCATAAGTCAATACCTTTGTCCATCAGTGGACGCCATTTCGCTGATGGCACAAGTACACTATGTGAGTGTAATAGTGTAAACATCATTTTGGTTACTTTCTTCTTCCTCCACCCGTGTGTTGCCCATATTTCTGTGTGCGATCTAGCGATTCGTTTCGGTGAATTTTCCGCATAGTGTACTTGCACCACTAAACGAACGAACGATTGAAGTCAATACGTGGATATTTCTGAGCACATTCTTTGGATAATTAGCGATTTGACAACTTATTAAAGGACCTATTTCAATCAACATAATTTATTAGTGTCCATATTTTCTTTCTTCATTGTCGCAGTGCGCCTTGAGCGTTGTTAAAGAACTATTAAATGTATCGTAATATACGATGTGAAATAACAATAAGTATTACAGTATTATTAGTATTACGCGTAGCGAGCTGTTTTTTCGCTCAGTGAAAGTTTTCAGTCTTTGAGCATAACATTTCATCATTTACAGGAAAACTGACAACCGCGAGGACTCCTGTATGAATGCGCAAGAGCGTCTCCATCCGTCGTGCGCACAGCGACCCCCCGTCGGGTCTCCCCTGCCCGCCTGCCACACCCTGGCCCATGCCTGCCGTGAAGACCCTGAGTGCAGGTAAGATATTTTTTTTATCCACACCGAGGAGGCTCTTGGCCTGTATCTCACCTGATGGTAAGTGACGATCAGGCCGAAGGTGGAAGCGAGCTTCACCCGGATTCCTCAACCACGGAGGAACTGGCTATCTTACCTCTAACTGCCGGAACACAACAATGCTGTTAACATTGTTGTTATGACGACAGACTTAGGCAAGATGGTGGTAGCTAGCCAGGCGGACTTAGAACTAGCCCTACCACCAACCAAACCGAACAGAAAAATCTGCCCCCACTGGGAATCGAACCCGGGACCTCTGCGTCTGAAGCAGATGGTCTTACCACTAGACCACAGAGGCGGTTGAATATATAAAAATCCCCGCCAATAGGAGTGATTTTAATCCCGACTGCCCGCCAAATCTCCCCTGTCTGCCTGCCATACCCTGGCCCATACCTGCCGTGAAGACCCTGAGTGCAGGTGAGATATATAAAAATCCCCGCCAATAGCAGCGATCTTCATATTGGCTGTTTATTGAATTTCCCCTGCCCGCCTGCCATACACTGGCCCATGCCTGCCGCGAAGACCCTGAGTGCAGGTGAGATATATAAAAATCCCCGCCAATAGGAGTGATTTTTAACCCGATTGTCTGCCANGCCCGCCTGCCATACACTGGCCCATGCCTGCCGCGAAGACCCTGAGTGCAGGTGAGATATATAAAAATCCCCGCCAATAGGAGTGATTTTTAACCCGATTGTCTGCCAAATCTTCCCTACCTGCCTGTCATACCCTAGCCCATTCCTGCCGCGAAGACCCTGAGTGCAGGTGAGATATATAAAAATCCCCGCCAATAGGAGTGATTTTAATCACGACTGCCCGCCAAATCTCCCCTGTCTGCCTGCCATACCCTGGCCCATGCCTGCCGCGAAGACCCTGAGTGCAGGTGAGATATATATAAAAATTCCTGCCAATAGCAGTAATTTTTATACCGGCTGTCCGTCGAATTTCCCCTGCCCGTCTGCCATACTCTCCCAGAAATCTTTTTTGTCGTCTTCTTAGCCTTTATTGTGACTATCGTCTAGAAACAAATGGACCAACTGGAACCAGGTTTTTTGCGCGTTCCAAAATTGTCAGCTTTTATGATTCGAAGCTTGTTTTGGGCACGGGAGATCTCTTAGTCAGCATAACAGTCCTGCTTTTGATCAGGTTACTAATAAAACTGAGAAGAATGTAGTAGAAAAAGGCTCATAATGTATAAATTCTATAGTTCAATATTAACTTCTAGATATAAGTTCAGCAAGCATTCTTCAAAAGAAACTAAATAACCTAAAGGAAGACGAAAGATACAAACATTTAAAAAGGTCATATCGAACTACGATTGAATTTAGAAGTTAAAAGTATGAGTGCCCTTCCGCACTACTCACTTCCCTTCATTAAATAAGTCCTCGGCCCAAAAGGGCTCGAGTTTGGGGCCCATTTAAAAGTTCTTGTAAATAATACCCACGGAGCAGGGGTTGCCATTTGTTTGAATTTGTTAGGACATGTCAAGACTTTCCTAACTCTGAAAACAATATTGAACGGATTGTCTGTATGTAGGCGTATAACGGGTGCTGATAAATACGTGGGGTATACTTTGTGATTTTAATTTCCGATCCTTTTTCTAAATTTCTTTTTTGTGTACCAAAAGTAAACAGACTATATTATCATTGAGTGAATTTAGATTGTCCGCGTAAATTTTGATAAAAACTAACTTAACTGATATAATAGTAATTTCATAAAAAATCGTCCAGTAGTTATTCGTATTACCAGTATTGCATAAGAAGACGAACTAACTGTTGTGTATATTACGATTATGACGAATTATCTCTGGGACGTAACGAAATGTCAAGTTAAAGCAGCAGACTATTCTATATATTTCTATGAAAAAGCTTCCGTTACTAGCGACACGTGTCTGAAAGTATTTTAAAGAAATACATAGAAAGTAGTGTGTCACGGCGACGCAGTTTCCTGCTGCTGTGTGGAGTCAGCTACGAACTTACAACAAGGGTGGTCACCCTAACCTAAGCTCCATGAGCACATATTTGTCGCCGGCCCGCAAACCGCAGCAATCCCTCCATTATATGACAGCAATAACCCTTAAATTCTGCCGTAAAAAATTTTCCAAATATATTGCGGTTTACAGACAGGGAAGGATTTTAAATGTGAGGTACAGGTACCTACTAAATATTTTCAACGGTAACAAAAGGTTGAAAAAGGTAACTTCTTCTCAAAACCATTTAAGATGTTGTGCCGAATTGATGTCATACCTAGCTGAAGATATTTTGGAGTGTGTATGTAATATGTAGGTAGGTATAATGTCTCTGAAAAAAAAAGGTATTAAGAAAGAATTTTGAATCGATTTTAAACCCTAAATCAAAATAAAACATAACATTAATGAATTTATTAACGTTTTTAGAGCATTGTTTGATAATAATTCAGACGTATCTCCATAATAAACCTAACTGCTAATTTAAGTACTCATTTTGTTCTAAATGCTGATCCACCATAACTTCAATATGCTTAAACACCGTAAGTAACCACCATCATCCCACAACTACCCTCGTGTCTGTGACGCGGAATGAGGGCCCTTGAGGCGGCCCTGTGCGCGCGCAGTTGACTTATAACACAGAATACAAAGAATACAGAAGGTATGACCAAGCTTAAAAGCTTGTGTATGGACAGTCTCATCAGAGTGTAGGTACCTGATATAGTGATCTATTAACGCACAGCCCAAACCACTGGACGGATCAAGCTGAAATTTGGCAAGCAGGTAGATGTTTTGACGTAGGCATCCGCTAAGAAAGGATTTTACGAAACTCCACCCCTAAGGGGGTAAAACGGGATCCACGCGTACGAACTCGCGGGCGGCCGCTAGTTTAAAATAAGAGGTCACAGTGTGAAGGTTGATGTGCTATTGTCGCCTGTACTTACTTAATGTTTCATCCCTCCCTACACTGGGTTGCATTCAGCGTCAGGGCCGTGAGAAAAAGCTCAGTCAAATGCAGCCGAGCAGTAATTTGGGCATCCATTTTTTTTTCATCTTTTTTTTCTTATTTTACAAGGTCCTCTCAGTATTTTATGCTCACAGTAAGAGCTCATAGAATCATCGTGGAACGCAGAAGGGCCACTCGATATGAAAAGTACATGTGCCAGAATATGAGTGTAGTTGGCAATAATTTGTTAAGATTTTTATGATAATAAATCTTTAATAAATAAATCTTTGGACAATTTCACACAGCGCCAGCTAGCCCCAAAGTAAGCAACTTAATGCTTGATATAAATCATATAAACATTGCTAGAAAGACACAGTTTTTACCCGCTAAGCACATAGTCAACGTTACCATTGAATTATTCACACGTTACTGCCAACAATTAATTATTTGAAGCGAAACCAGAGCATAACCCATAAAATAGAAACATTATTTCAAAGAAAAGGGTTGATTCTGGTTCAAAAATATCCTTCATATTTGAAAGATTCAGAAGAGAAAATTCTGCTGCACTATACATTCTTTGGCATGCCTGGCTGCCTACAGAGGTACAGTGACTTACGCGAGCGTATGTGAAAATATTTCGCGAAAGATTTCTCATATTCGTCCCCGTCTTACAACATCGGGAGACATCTCTTTAGTGTAAGAATTCAATACATAACATTTTCTATTATGGCGTCGAATAACGCGTATACACAATGTAATACATGTGGATAAAAATATGTCTGATGCTTACTTCTCGAGGAAATGCGGGGCCGGAATAATTGTTGTGACAGTTGTATAAAATGTGGTGCGCAATATCCACTGAGTATATTCCTTTTTTCCTTACTTTATTTATTCATATTAATAACGCTCCAGGGTCCGTATTAGGAAATTCTAAAATCGATTCAAAATCAAGTACCTACTTCTAGATTTAAGCTTTTGACTGGTTAAATTATTTAGAAAATGACGTCAGGATCGTCGATCGCTTTTNACATGCCCGGACACACTGTATAATTAAAAGTAGTAGGTACAGCCCACAACGTGGACCGACGACATCATAAAGGTAGCAGAAAGGCGCTGGATGCAGGCCGCTACCAATCGATCAACGTGGAAATCATTGGGGGAGGCCCATGTTCAGCAGTGGACGTCCTATGGCTGAAATGATGACAATGACAGCTCTTTTGGCCCCACAGTATTAGTAAGCGTGGGCAGTGTAAGCCAAATCCTTTCTTTACCTCTGACAAATTAGAAAGGGTTGTCTTACTGCAAGACTAAATTATCTGATGATGAAAAAAATTCAAAATTTCAATTCCAGGATCCGTCTCGAGAACTATGAGCAGTGGTGCGCTGTGGATGCCGTGACTCAAGGCTGTGCTGGGTCCCCTGCTGCCTGTCGGGCTGCAGTGGTGGCCGTACTAGGCACCCAGCTGAGAGCGGCCTGTGCTTGCCGTGGCACTGACTTTGCCCAGCTCTACGACTGCCTGGGCTGGCAGAGGCTGTTGTGGCTGAACCCTTGCGTTGGTAAGATCTTAAGATAATCGAGACTTTCCATTTCTTGTCTCCGGACTAGCTGTGCTGGGCAATCTGATGCGTGCTGAACTACAGTGGTGGCCTTACTAGGCACCTAGCCGAGAGCGGCCTGTGCTTGCCGTGCCGTGGCACTGACTTTGCCCAGCTCTACGACTGTCTGGGATGGCAGAGACTGCTATGGCTGAACCCTTGCGTTGGTAAGATCTTAAGATAATCGAGACTTTCCACTTCTTGTCTCTGGAGTAGCTGTGCTGGGTAATCGACTGCCTGTCGGGGGGCCTGTGCTTGCCGTGGCACTGACTTCGCTCAGGTCTATGACTGCCTGGGCTGGCAGAGGCTGCTGTGGCTGAACCCTTGGGTTGGTAAGTTAATAAGAACAGGGCCCCTGCTACTTGTAGTGCTGCAGTGGTGGCCGTGTTAGGCACCCAGCTGAGAGCGACCTGTGCTTGCCGAGGCACTGATTTCGCTCAGCTCTACGACTGCCTGGGATGGCAGAGGCTGCTGTGTGTGTTATTGGAAGATCATAAGAGAAAGGGGATTTTCTAGGGCCACTTCTAGTTTATATTAACCTTACACTTAGCATGAAACCAAATGTTGTTGTACATATCTAGATTAGTTTTTGTTTTTTTTTTTTAAGTGACAGGTTCTCTTTTTAAATAAAAATAAAATAAAATATGCTATGCAGTCGTTAATCTACAGCTGGACCATTGTAAAACCCAAAGTAATTAAGTTACGGTCTGAAGGGTGTTTGTTCAAGACTAAGTACCTAGCTCAAAACCTCTTTCTTCCAATTCCAGTGGAATCCCAAAGCGACTACCACGTGAAGACCTACGGCTCCCTGATGACGACCACTGTGGCCGAGATTGGCATCAACTACATGACCGTACCACCAGAGAATGCCATCATCCACCGCACTACCACCCACCACAACCGGCACACCACCCACCGTGGTAGCTCCAGGGTCATTGAGAAGGAGGTAAGTCGTAAAAACAAGGAAAATAGCCACCAGTCTGCTTTTGACCACGGCTATAGCTATGTATAGCACGACAAAGCCGAAAATACAAGCTATACCTACTCGTAAACACCGTAGGTCGCATTTGAGACCCTTTATTTTCAGTTTTAAATCGAAGTCATGAAATATCATATTAGTTATCATAGGTTTAAACGGTGAGAAAACATTTGAAAACTATTTCCACGCGTACGAAGTCGTACGCGGGCACAGCTGGTCTAAAAAAATCGAGTTATTTTGGTTTTTAAACGGGGAGAAAACGGTTTGTAGTTTTGTACCTATCAAAGAATATGGGTGGTACGAAGTAGTTTGCTGGGTCTACTAGTTATTTCATAAATCTATTCTCCAAAGCAGGACAACCGCGAGCCGCCCAGCACTACGCAATCCGAGCAAACTGCGGAACCAAAGAGTCAGCAGATCTCCGAGCCTATCGTTGAAACCACCACCGAGACCACAACGGTCGCGACCACGACCACGACTCGCGCGACGACCACTACCACTCGTACGACGACTACGACGACCACGACGCCGCGGCCCACGACGACGCTTGAGCCGACGAAGTACTGCATCGTGAAGAAGCCGGAGAGTGATGACCAGGCGCAGTATATCAAGATGGGCGAAACGAGACGGGTACGTATATCATCGATAATTGGATACAGCATCAGACCATAGGGTTTTGTTGTGAAATTAGCACCAGTACAACTACTTAAAATGCCACTGCCCAATTTGATGTGCCATCGTCTGTACAATAACTACACCAATAAGATTTTAAAGATTTACTTATTGTTTATTTGGAGAGTCTGTACACTCGAAACACATGTACATACATACACTCGAAAAACATAACCCTCTGTAGTAGCCTNAGTCTGCTCATGACCTTGGCTGTAGCAAACCAGCTGAAACGTCAAACTGTAATACTTTATCAGGTTGAAACTGGTTGTGCTCAGTTGAATGGCTAGGTATGTCATAAAAAGTCAACTATTGAAATACGAA